TTAGATAATGAATTTAAGGAAGCCAAGGACTTCAGAACTATCCCAAGCATTCCAGTTAGTCACCAAGAAAATCGTTTTTGCTCAAGGCCACAGCCTATGCTCCTTATCAGAAATCTATTTTGCAAATGTATACTATTTAACACAGAACCATTAGAGAAAGCAAGCACAGTTGCAAAATTACAGAATTAAAGGGAGCAATCACAATAGTTGTAAAGTCAAAACACCTCCAGTGCACACATGACCTCCATGACCCTCTTCACAGCTGGCCATTCAGCTTCCACTTGTACATTCTTCCCTGCTACACTGTAAGCCCATGAGGGCAGAGACTCTGTCTTATACACCATTGTGGTCTCCTGAATAATATACTGTAGTCAATAAATATTTTTGAGTGAGTGAATGAGTGTTCTTGTGGAGGAATTGTACCACTCATACAGTAATACCCATCTTTGTAGAAGAGCTCAAATCTGAGAAGTCTGTTTAAAGGGCAACAAGAGCCACCTCTGGTACCTCTGATACCATCTTCCCCCTCTCCTTATGTAAGCCTTGCAAATATGGTAAGCAGCTCCTCCAAGCCAAACTTTCCCGTTTAGGTCCACTGTTTGCCACATATCCTTGTTTCCAAGACTTTCTACTGTCCTTTATATGAACTACATTTGGTCAGTTCTTTTTAAAAAACTTGTGGCACCGAGAATGAAATATAATTATTTCCCATGTTACCTGGCCAGCCCAGAGGACAGAGCTCTCTTATCAAATTATGTAAATCTTGCAATCCTTGGGAAAAATCACATCAAATGGTATGATAAGGCTGATGAGAGATCTTTCAGAAAATACCAAAAACTGTGAACTCCTCCAGAAGGCTTCATCCATTAAGGACACCACCCCCATAAGGGACTAGGATGCTGAGAGAGAGTAATTCACTATATTCCCCACACAATCAAACCCTAGTAAAATATTTTGAGGAGTTTCTTTTTTGAATGAAGGCTAAGTAAGCATTCATTAAACCTGAGAAGTTCTAAGTCTTCCAATTTGCATAGTGAATTGGAACTGCAGTAGCCTGAATATGAATGGAGATGTGGTAATTCAGTAACACGAAATGGGAAGTATAGTTTAATTACCCTACAGATTTTTTTGCACATAAATTTCTTCTACTTTTATGACAATACTGGATTATGAACCCATTCACCTTAATGTTGGGTAATGATGCCTATAAAGCAAGTCATAAAAATGCTTTGTTTGCAATTCTGTTTTTAGAAACTCCAATCTTATGGAAAAGTCTTGTCATGATTAAAGAATTTGTACATCTCCCAGAATCATAGAAATTAAAGGATTCCCAAAAAACTTAAGAAGTAAAGTCCTTCCTGCCTTAGTTAATGAACTAAAGGATTTCAGGGTAAAAGGGAGAAATATTTCCCTAGTTGCTTCAAATCTATAGATCTGGAGCATACAATTCTTTAATGGTACCATAAAGTAGAATTTAATCTAGAAATGGCCCAAAATATAAGCCTGAAAAGAAATATTGATTTGAGATGACAGTATGGAACCAATAACATTTTTTTGTGAAATTGTATTTCTGCTATTTAAAAAAATTATGAGGAATGAAAATTTCACCTTAGAAAACCAAAAGATAAATTTTAAGAATAGTGAATGAAAATTAAAGGAAGAACAACAACTTATTTTTTTTTTACCCATTAGATTAGCACGAAGTTTAAAAGGCAATAACATTCATAGCTAATGAGGATAAGTAATCTTTAAACTTTACATATTTGTGTATAGTTTGCTACAAATTGGAGGAAATAATAAGGAAAAATGTACGAAAGTCTAAAATGTGTATACTTTTGAACTAACGATACTACTTCTGGGACTCTGTCCTGTTGTAATTGGAAACATGTGTATCTAAGATAAATGTATAATGGTGTTTGTTGTAACAATTTTTGTCACAATAAAATATTAGAGATAGCCTGAATGTCTATAATTATTGTTAATCAATAAAATAAAATATTACCCAACTAAAAAAGTATGAATTAGATGTTGATGTTAACACTGGAGGGATGTCCTTGAGTTAACAATAAAAAGTTAGAGGGTAATATAAAGAATATAATCCCTTCTCTGTAAAAGCAAGTAACAACAAAAACCCCATATATGTGTATTTGTATGTCTGTACAAGCATGAGGCTTTCAATATTGATTACCTCATGGTACTGTCAGCACTAAGAGGTGATTTAAAAGGCAGCTTTAGAGCTCTGTGATCTACATTAGTTCCCTCAAAAGCCACTCCACGTAAACATAAAAAAAAGCAAAAAGATCATCCTTGCTATTTGCATACAGCTACAAGAAACCCTCTTACTCTTCTCCCCACCCTCCCCACCCCACGTAAGTCATAACACTACAACATTCCTAAATGGAAATTCTGAAGTTGGCATAGCTTCAGGAAAGTGAAACAAAAAAGAATTGCATTTTTATATAAATATTTTTACCTTTTAAAAATTGTCTTGTAATACTTTTGGGATTTATAAATGAAATTCTGAAAAACAAAATAATAAGTTGTGATGAAAATATTTAGGAATTTATATCACAGTGCATGGTCTTTTCTCAGGAAAGAAATTAGTTGTAATTACAAAAAATAATAGAAATATTTCTCTTTTCATCACTTTGTTCAGTCCATGTTCTTTCATATTTTTTTCTGGCATTTTTCTTTGTCTCAGAACTGTATCTAAAGTCTAGACATTGTTAGTCTGTCAGGACTAGAAAGGATCAGAGTGCTTCTTCAAATCATTCCATAGTCACTATTTTCTCACCTTCTCTTCAAAGTTTAACTTCTAGCATTGGCCCCCAAGTTCATATATCATATTTTTCATGCAAAGATCCTAATATAGATCATATATCACATTTTTCCTACAAAGATCACTAATATAGTGACTGACAGGACCTTTTTTAGAATTAATTTTCTAGGAGTTAGGATGAACTTGCACAAGTTATTGGTCTTTCATTCCCAAGATCATTTGTCCTTATAATCAAAAGTACCTACCATGAAATAAAGTTTTCTCTGTGAAAAGGTAACTTAGATAACTTAAGTTTCAACTCCCACATAGGCAGAGAAATTAAGAGGTTTATGCACACAAAGTTATCTTGTTCATACTTCCGTTATATTAGTATGTACTGTCGTGTATTCATGTGACTGTATCCCTATAAATCTAAGCTTCAAGAAAGCAATCACCACCTCTTTTATTTCATTATTTTTGGTGTCTAGCAGAGCTCTTGACATAATAGGTTCTAATAAATGTTCTTTGGATGAATGAAAGTACAAAATAACTGGACGTCTAATGAGTATGTATTTAGTTAAAGAACATAATGTTATAATACTAACCCCTCAAAATCTAGTTTATCTCTTATGTAAAGTAAGAATAACAGTATTGCTCTGAGTACCAACTTCAGAGACTAAATGTGAGAATCAGATAAGGTAACTCAAGTGAAAATAATTTATAAACTACAAAATACCATGGAAGTGAGGACTCCATTGAGAAGATTATTGAAATAGGCCAACTTCAAATTGATGGGTCTCTTAAATAGATACTTATAAAAAGTTCCACATATCCACTACTGAATAGAGTCATAGTCTGAAAGACACAGATTTGAGGGTTCTCACACTTAATCACACAAGCTTAAAAATCTAGAGCTTGGTGAATTCACTTTAATCCATTTTAAGTTTATATTGGCTATTTTGGATTTTCTCTTGTTCCTTCATTTTGATTTTGTACCATTGCAATCAGCTACTTGAGATACATTTTCAGTGGACCTCAAGGTCCAAATGACTCAAAATCAAATACTTTCAAAGTATTTATGTAAATAGTAAATAATTTAATTATATCATTTGCTATATTAAAATACATAATATACCGTAAATTAAGTCAAGTAGGTTTTTTTTCCAACTCTGATGGTGACTTCCAGTTTCTGAAAAACATTCTAGCAAGGATTGCATGGCATAGAAAGGAGGAGAGGTATGTGTGTTAAGGCCACCAAATGGGCTGTGGCTGAGTCACTAATTCACCTATGCATGAACTTGGGCCAGATACTTTCCTTCTCTTTGTTCTGGTTTACTCACTCTTTCCAAATTGAAAGGCAGTAAACTATAGTCTCTCTAAAATCACTTCCTCCTCTAATATGTTAAGGTGTTATAATTTAATTCTATCACTTTGCAATTATAATTCTACTTCAAGTTGGAAACAGAAAAACAACCATAAACCTGCTTTCTCATGTTGGCAAGGTTAGTTCATATAAACCACCTTAGAAAACATTCATATGATAGTCTTCACAAGCACTAGATAGAGTGATTATTGATATTAGTCAATTCACTGTATACATTAATCAAATTAATCTAATACTTGCCAAGCTTTCACCTGGTTTTGTTCAAATACTAAAAAGTCTTCGAGAAATCACACACAAATATAATCATCATTTATGTGGCTCTACCCTTCATCAGCTTTCTCCTTCCATCTGAAAATCCAAACCTCTCCAAGTCAACAGTTTTATTATATTTGTATTATGTTCCTGAATATATTATCAGGAATAAGATTCTTCCTGGACTAGGAGAATGTGGGGGGAAATGAGCCTCTGTTTTCGGCATCCAACCCATGAGCAAAGTATCCTCCACCACCTGCTGCTTCCTACATGCCAAAACTCCTGCTCCAGCTAGAGCTCCTGGTAAGACAGGAGAAAACTGCAAGGGAGGGGAAGAAGGCTGGTGAGAGCAAGAGGCGGAGAGTGAGGGATGGGAGGCAGGAGGAGGCGGGGCCCGGCTCGGGGCGGTCGGGATAAATACTGAGAACGGGGTGCGGGGTGAGAGAGAGAACTCCGGAAGGACGCCTGAGCCGAGCAGCACCGAGGACAGCGCCCGGCAGCGCCCGCGCCCAGGTCTCGTCCGCGGCCCTGACTGGCGCGCCAGCTGGGGGTCTCGCTCAGCCACTCTCGCACCGACACATTCGCGCGCACACGCCCCGCTGTACCATGGCAGAATCCCACCTGCAGTCGTCTCTGATCACAGCCTCACAGTTTTTCGAGATCTGGCTTCATTTCGACGCTGACGGTGATTATCTTCTCTTTTCTTTCTTTTTTTTTTTTTTTTTTTAACTGTTTCAGGACCCGTTTCCACGTCCCTTCCCGCTCCTTGCCTTCCCCTCAGCCTCTTGGTCCCATTATCCTCCGTTCTATTCTTTACTTCTTTCCCCCTCCACCTAATCTTATCTCCCGACTGGCTGCCAAACCGTCAGCCTGAAAGTTTATATTGCTTCCGCGTAATCCCCAAACCTTAAACTTTTGTCTTTCCAGGAATGGTAATGATGGAGAGAAGGAGCAGGGATTGGGAGACCCTGCTCCCCAAAGTTTCTGTGGCTGCGCTCAGCACCCCAGCCATCCTCCTTTGTCCTCAGTGGATCTAAAGTTTGGCACCCAGGATGGGAGCGCTGGCGCGTCTGTACCCTTTGCTGCTTAAACAATGTCCAGGCAAGAGAGAGCTTCTCAGGTCGCCAGAAAGATAGCTGTCGTGGAAAGTGAACAGGGAAGACACTCGAAATGAGGAAAGGAGATATCTGACGCTTGGGTGCCTCTTTGTCTTTGCAGGAAGTGGTTACCTGGAAGGAAAGGAGCTGCAGAACTTGATCCAGGAGCTCCAGCAGGCGCGAAAGAAAGCTGGATTGGTAGGTTCCAGTTTGTGAAGGAGGAAAAAGACGTTCAATCCTAAAATATAAATATTCTTGTGTTTTCATAAAAAGCAAGCGAGGTCAAGTGCTTTCTGGAGATCGTAAATGTTTATTGACTGAGAACGGTGAGAAAGAACACCTTTCAAAGTTACATAGGGAGAAACGGGCACAGGGGGAGAAAGAGAGAGAGAAAGAAAGGGAGGAAGAGGGAGGGAGGGAGGAAGGGAGAGAGAGAAAGAGAGAGAGATTGGTTTTTCTAGTGAGAAAAACCTTACAGTCTGAAATTGAAGCTTTAAAAACATATATTCTATCCTTGTACTTGCCTTAATAGCTTCTAAAAGGAAAGTGTAGGTGCACGAGATCCTTTGATGGATCACCACCTTTACCACTGAGTTCGGTTAGATAATTTTTAACTTCTCTTTTACTGCGCAAGTAAGGGGGTAGAAATACATTTCTGCCCCTTGGTGGTCAGGAAACAGATCTGCAGATTATGAATCTCTTATTCTATTGCCAGATATTATTGTCGTGATGTTGATGTAGTTAGGGAGATGAGAAAACATCCTGTCTTGACCCACCTCACTGGGGAAAAGTTGGCCTGCTTGCAACATAATAGTGAGCAAGAATTTAGCAAGAAAATGTCTTCATTTTGTTGAAATGGAAAAGCCCAAAAGTTAGAGAAGTGAAAAGTAAGACAATTTTAAGAATTTCATTATTGTTAAAAAAAAAAAAAGCAATACTGTGATGGGAAGCAATTAATAGTGTCTTGGAAATGACCTATGTTTGTGATTTAAGGCAATAATTATTTAAATAAATGGTAATTCTTATTAATTATAAATGACTTCCTTTGGGCATAAATTAACCTGTTAAGAAAAGATGTCGTTAGCATAAAAACAAAATATACCCTTCTAAACATAGATGAGATGGTCGTATAAAGGAAAATGGGTTAAGAATTTTACTACTCTATTGAGGTTTATGTAAGACTGCCTTTCAGAAGGCAGTGTTGGATTTGGACTAATTAGATGTTAATGGTCCTTGGCCTTTTTGACTATGGATAGAAAGAGATTTTACATTACTGGTGATGTAAATATCATCTGTACATATCACATAACAAGTCACTACCTCTAGTATTGATTGATATCCATAAAATTTAATAACAGAATTATCTTTTTGTTCTATTTAAATTGAAAATTGTGTAGTACACATATTCGGAAGAATCCCAGTGGTCTCTAAATGTATTATAGTGCATTATAGAACTATCAGTTGCTAAAATCATTGACCAAATTGATTTTAAAGTAGACTGTGCTCTAGGGATTGTTTTATCCAGAATTAATATTACATAAATCTAAAAGTATAATGGAATGTAATCAAATAACATAAAAGTGTTTTATATACCCTCCAACCTCCCTCTATCTTATGTACTGTTATGTAAATAAATTTATGCAACACCATAATTATAGCTCTATGGATATTTGGCTAATAAGAAAATAGCAATTCTCTTCTTCATTAAAAAATATATATTAAAAATATCTGGTTAGGAAAGTCTTACTTTCCATAACATTTACAATTAAAACCTTGGAAGATGCTTCCAGCAGCTAAATGATTATATTTCAATTTTTCCAGAAGTAATTTTAATATCGAAATTTATTTTCATCTTAGAAATTCAAATATTCTTGAACTCTATCTATTTTTCCAAATTTTTCTTTTCCTCCTCCTATTTTAATATTTGTACCTTTTTGTAAACAATGCCTTTGTTTTGGAGTTTTCAAGTTGAAGTTTAATTTTTTTCTACTGCCTAGGCTCCAGTTTTGGAATATTTGAAACTCTGATTATTAGATTATAATTCAATAATACTAAACTTGAGCATGAGCACAGGTATAGGATTATATCAAGTGGCTTAATACCTTGATTCTTGAGTATTTTTCTAGGCTTTGGTTAGTTAAAATCTAAATCAAGCTCTGGATTGAGAAGTTCATAGGCTGGATACATGTTTCACTGTATAAGTGTGTGAATATAGCATTTATGAAATATAACATTCCCATATAGTTTCAGAAACTATCCTTTTACACTAAGTATAGTGTTTAGTCTTTAAATTTGCATTCACTTTTATAAACCTTTAATAGACAATAACAATGATGATGATGATGATGATGATGATTATATGTTTTGCACTGTTTAAAAAATAAATTTTGACATAATTTTCACCCAGAAATTTCACAAACTAAACGTCAAATCTGCTAGTTAAACTAGAGGTATTACACAGTTTTAAGATTTCAGAATGAATGCCTTGGTTTTTGTTTACATTAAGGTATGTGTAAAAAATATAGGGACTGATATTCCCACTATTGCCATGGGGTAGACACTTTCATTTTCTTACAATTGTTCCTGTAACAAAATTTAATAAATACAAATTGTAATTTATCTATAGTACAAGAGTTTTTTAAAGCGTGAAATATAATTAAATTGCTTTGTTACTATTTATTACCTTATTTCTATTAAAAATATTTACATTGGCTCCAAAAGGATTTTGTAAATACTACTAGTAATGCTATTTAGCCTCAATGTGGCCCTTAAATTATATTAACCTATCTATCCCTAGAGCAAACTATGCAGTAGAGAGTACCACCATTTTGTTAGTTATGATAAAAATTGAGACCTCAATTTGCTTTCCCAAGGACATAGAATAGGACATTAGAAAGGGTTGACCTATTTTAAATAGGCTTCAGTTAATTCAGCAGGGCAATTTAAAATGGGCTATGCTGGAGACCCAAGGGTAAAAATTAAACTTCCTGAATACTAGCTCCATGTTCAGATCACTAGCTTATAGTTCATAGCTCTCTAATCTATTTTATTTTTAAATTAATTTAGTTAATAAATGCTTCTTCCATGCTGGAAACAATACTTGCCCATGAAGTGAGTTACTCTTTGACATTCACATTTTTTGCTTGTCCAAACTGCAAACACACATTACTACCTTCCATGGAAAAAAATATTGCGTTAGAATAGGAAAAATGTTATAGAACAAAATAGTGCAGCAATATAAAATAATATTTACTGAAGCAAGCAATTTTCAAAATATATTAACAATGATTATTATATTTACATTCACTGAAGATTATGAATTGAATGATTCTCACTGTATTTTCAAAGGGTAGCAAATTCTCAAAACTAATAATAGAAGATAAATCATAGCAATTGATTTAGAAGTGATAATCATAATTATAACTCTTTCATTTGGAACTAATAAATACTGTGTATCTGTTATGCCCTTAATTTTCATGAGAATAGTTAATCAGTATGCATAATTCTAAATGGATACAATTTTGGTTTTCTCTGCAATAAGTTATTATCACCATCGCAAGCATAATTGGGTATTTTTTTTAACAAACTTCTTACCTGCTTTTATGTAATTTTAGGAGTTATCACCTGAAATGAAAACTTTTGTGGATCAGTATGGGCAAAGAGATGATGGAAAAATAGGAATTGTAGAGGTAAGGAACTTATGCATTTTTCTGATTTAATTTTAATAAATGAGCTTTAATGTTGAAGCTGTATCCAAGTCAAACATGATATGGCAAGACCCATTCAGAGAGTCTTATTTTACCTAAGTAATGTTATCTTCTCTTCAGAAATATAAAATCTAAAATGTTTAGAAATGAAAGAGACCTAAGAGTTTGCCTAATCCAGAGCCTAGATTTACTATATTACAAAATTGAGACCCTGGAGAAATGAAATGGTTTGCCTCTGGTCATGCAGCTGTTGGCTGGCACAGGTGCAGTTAGAGGAACAAGTCCCTGACTTCTGGATGAGTATCCATCACAGTACATTACCCAGCTCACTTCAGAAAAGTGTCCCAGTACATGGTTCACCGCTATTTCCTATCATTCAACAGCATAGACTTTTCTTTTAAAATATAAAATGACAATATTTGCAGTTCCTAAGAAATACTTGCAGTCGTAATATTTCACGGCAAAAAGCTATATCTTGGTTTTGGAAATTCTATTTTAGATTGACAGTTGGCCTCAGTAAAAACATACGAATTTAACTAAAGTGAGCGAATATTTTATGATCTGTTATAGGTGCATATTTCTCTTGAGTCTCTGAAAATTTAAACTGTGGGCGTCAAATCTTTTAACAACGACTTTTCCCATTAAGGATAACTTATTTTTGTCTGTGAATCAAGGAAGTAAAACTTTGATTATTCATCAATTCCTCTGCATTCTCAGATTTGTGAAAGAGCTCTTACCTCCCCTACTTGTATGTTTTCAGACTCTAGTGTCTCAGCTTCTTTTTTATCTCTGCAACCTATCAGAGAAATTGAGTGGAAGGTTTTGTCCAGAAAAATTAATAAAGACATATTTTAAAATATGCCAAATCACAAGCGTAATTATGTTCTTCATATAGTGTTCTCAGTGTCTTAGACTGTGAAGTATTCTGGCTCTCAGCAACATTTAGTCATAAGTTACCTTTGATTTGAAGAACTAACCTGGTTTTCAGATAATTGATCATATAGGACACTTGTGATGCCAATCTGAAATACACTTATTTTTAAACAGCTACTCCAAATAGAGTTAAGGGAGGACATACTATTATTATCTTCAATCTTCATAATTAAAATTTTTCCCTGGAGTATACACTTTCCCCTTTACCTATGTGTAACTCATTACTATATAAATAGATGATAGTAATGGGACTTACAGATTGACATAGAGGCCAACTAATTAAGACATGAAATCATCAAGGATAAGAAAATAAATAACTTTTAAATGAACATAAATGAGATGAGGTAAATCTAATTATTCAAAACTAGTTTGAAAATCTGACATAAGTGAAATTATAGATTGGCTATGTCAGAGTTTGGCATACTTTTTAATTCTGGTAAAGGAAAGACTGTCATCTTACATTTAACTTACTTCACTTTGAAGGATTCCAATGGGCTCAACTGTTTATTCCATTCCATGATACTAGGTTGTGCAGTAAAAAGCATATATCTGATTCACATCTGATTCTGATTTTACATTTTTCAAAGGAGAAAATGGATACTCATGTTTTGAATCCAAATTTTACTATATATGATACAATCTAATCATTTATGCCTTATTATTTGAGGTCTAATTTGAATAAGAGGTTAGAGGTCAATTAGCAGGTGCATTGTCTTAGAGGTTTGATGAAAGAAATTTCCCCAGAAGTTTGAGATAAGAAACTGTTACAGGAAAGAAAAGGTTTTTTGTGTAAGGAAAGATAGAGAAATATAGGTAACAGAAGAGAATGAAGACGGTAATGAAGGCTGAAATGAAGAACTGAGGGACTTTTATAGAAATAAGGAGAAGAAAAATAATTTAAGTTTGTATAGCATTATACAACTTATAAAGTGTTTTCAAACATGTTGTCTCATTCGATCTTCATAACAACAAAATTAATCTAATCTAAATATAAAATGGGAATCTATTTTATAGTTAGGAAACCTGAAGCTTCAATAGATTTTGCCTAAGGTCAAAGAAAAAATAAGAAATAAATGATAGAACAGTCAGAACCCATCCATGTTCCCCTAAGCTGCCCTGCCTACTTATTTTAATAATAAATAATCTGCACATTTTCTACATTAAAAGGAAAGATTTTTCAACCTTCAATTGGTTGATTACTTACGGCAAGGTTCTAAGTTTAGCCAGGTTAAATAGGGATGCACAAAGTACTGTATAGAGAGGTTATTTTGCGCTTGAAACATGATTCGAGCAGAATTTTTCAGATCGACTGAAGCAGAAAGAGTTTAAAGACAGAGAAGTTAGACATAAAAACAGATTAGAGGGTTTTAGTGTTCCAGGATATGGAACTTTTTGCTAGATGGGACCCTTGGGAAGAACTAGCCAAAATTCCTTATTTTAAGGATGAAAAAACTGAAGCCCAGAAAGGTTGAATGATGTGTCCAGGGTCCCACTGTCCGGGAGTGACAAAACCTATACATAGACCTAGATATGACTTTGTTTGCAAGACTCTTTTCATTAACTTGAGTTATCAGCCAAGACATGCAAGTAAGGGAGAGGGACTGGGGTTAGTTGGAGAGAGGAGAATTAGAAAGTAGGTGAATAGGGAGGAGACTGCTTCAGCAGTTCATATGCATATTTATTCAGTCTATGGTGGTTAAGTAGGAGTCAAAAAAGACAGGTTCTGGAAATCATTGGAAAATAGAAATTGAAAGTTATAGATTACATGTAGGGAGTGGGGAAAGGGAGAATGGGAAATGCTTGAATTTATCATGTGCCCTCTAGTGTCACTAGAAACTTATATTAAATGAAGTTCATGCTTTCTTTTTCCAACTAGACATATGATACCGCTTGCTTAAAAATTGTTTATATAATACGGAACACCAATACACAAATCCCAACTAGCTATAAAGGAATAAAATATCCCATGTTTTTCAAAATTTATAATAATCTACCTACTAATGTTAAGCACACCTTAACTTCGGTGTTTGAAAGGTAAAAAGGTTGGATTTGCCTTTATATTGTGCCCACTTAATAGTTGTACTCATCAAAATCTAATCAAAGTGAACCAAATGCAGTAGTCTGCTTTCCTGATGGAACAGGTCAAATTGGTTTGTCTCTGAAACATGTTGTTTAAAAAATTGAAAAACAGTGGTTAATTTTCAAAGTTTGGATCTGACGAAGTTGACTGACACTTTCCAACAACACGCATTTGCTATGTAGAAACATGTAAAAAGGAGGATAATGTGCAAATACGCTTCATTTTGAACTTTCTAATTTCATGTCTTTAAATAGATGTTAAAATTCACACAAACACAGTTCAGTAATAAAGAGATTGTTAATATGAACTCAAAACAGGAACATCAAAATTCTTAGATCATTGAACAAATACCATGACAGTCAAAAAATGTTCTAAATTTATTCAGAATAATAACTCTATTGTAAAGAAGGCTGATTAAAATAAGCAAAAAGGAAGAGGATTTAGTGGGTAATGGAATTTTCTTCCCTGGTGTGCACATGAAGTATAGATATTTCCCTTAGCTGTATGTCAAATATATAAGTTTTTTACCTGATCCCTTGGGGAATGTGTGGGAAGCAACCATCCTCTCCAGTCTTATTATTTCTATCTGTTCAGGTCAGTGCATCCACTGAAAAATAGATCTAAAAGCTATTTTAATCCTAAAACTGTAACAACCCTCCCAGGGAAGAAAGCGCTTCTCGAGCCTTTCCCTCTTTTCTTCCACAGTGGGATTTGAGCACGTGAGTTTAGCCCTGGGGAATATAATTTTTCACGGCAGACTACTTTTCCACTTCAGAATTTGGAGAAACGACTGACAATGAAATCTGATTTAAAAATTCACTCTAGATAGACATTTTTAACATTCTATTAGGAAAACTTTTTCTGATTGAAGATTTTAATGGAGGATGATAAAGATAAGGGACAGAGTCTCAAAATCTAGATAATCAGACTGTGTGCCTTCAAATCTGGCTGACACTACAAGCTATGTGAGAGCAGATCATTTACCTTCTCCCAGCCTCTGTTTCCTTGGCGGCGAACAGGAATGACAATGTATTAATTTCATAAGGTTGTTATGAATATCGACATCAAAGGAGATAATACATGTCAAAGAAGTAGGCCAACCCTGCCACACCATAAGAACTCAATAAATGTATTTGCTATTATTGTTAAATACAAAAATAACTTATTGGAAAATCTACACCATTCTTCTGAATGTCAAGGCTTTTTTATCCCACTTACATAATTTGGCAAATTCAAATTATTAAATTTAAATAGCCTTAAATTTTTGAGAAGATTATTTGCCTTCCTAATTTCCTGGGCTCACTTCTTATTGGCTAGAAAAAATGTTCCTTTGGATCTCAAATGAAAAAAGTAAATGCTTGGCTAATATGTGTTGGAGAATGTTAACAGACACCATGATTGTCTTTAAAAGTTAAGAATTCTGCCTCAAGCGCAATTTAAAGTACCTATTTCTCCAAAGAAATTGCCCTTCATGCACACTCTCCTCACACCTAGTACTTAGTCTTATTGTTGTATCTGCCTCCTGCTTTGAAATCGTCAGGAAAAAAAATCGTTTGAAATTGTCCGCCTCCCTGTGAGGTTCTCACTAGCAGTGACTGTGAATCCCCTGCCGCCAGCACAGTGCCTAGGATTTAACAGACAAATGAGCCATGGCAAGGGATTTCAGCCTGCTCCAAAACATAAGGCAAGGGCTCTATATTATGCTAGGAATAGAAGAGAGATGGAAAGGCCCTTGTTATGGGTTGAGTTCCCTGGGAAGCAGATCTGAGTGGAGGAGTAGCAATGAAAAGGTCTATTAGGAAGTGCTCCTGGAATCAATACCTGTGGAAGGAAAGTGAAGAGAACAGAACTGGGTGGAGGGAGGTGCTGGGCTGTGATACAGTCTCAACAGAGACCTCAGTGACCCTTCAATGAGCTCTGGAGCTGGGGCGACCCTTCAGAGATGTCCCACATTTTGAGTGAGTGGGTTGGGCCTTCATACCCCTATGTGAATCAGTCATAGGATGCAGCCTCCCCAGGGATGCAACTTTCCACAGCCCCACTGATCCCTCAAAGGGGCCCAACAGCTGAGGCCATGGCAACATTCCCAGCAGCTGAAGGGAGCTCTGGAGAGCAGACCACAATGTCCGCCCTCTATCTACAGCTCAGGAATACGTCATTTGAATGATCTGCAAAGGGACTTTTTTTCCACTCATTTATGGCCTGTGCTGACTCTAGCAAAATAGTCAATTGCCTTCATTCATTGCTTCAATGAAAAATGTACTAAAATTTTTGCAATTGCTGGACAAAGAAACAGTAAATGAGATACAGACCCTATCCTCAAGGAGAACAGAGACTAGCAGGGGAGACAGGCAAGTAGAAAGAAAGGGATTCTTTTCACCTCATCACTCTTGGTGACAAGCAACGGGATCTCCTAAGTGAAGCTCTTGGGATTCTGCCTGTGGCCACAACTCTCTGCCTTCCACTCTCCTTTGCATACTCTTCACTCTCTTCTCCATAAAAAAGTTTTGGGAGTTCATAAAAGAGCAGGCAGGCAGCCCAAAGACTAAGGAATCACCAGTAATATTGGAACAAATATTGGACAATACTGACTTAGCAAATCTGAAAAGAAATTCTTGGGTTGAGGCTCTAAAAAAGACTTGAGGGGCATGGTTGCTTCTCTGTCCAGCAGGGACCCTCTCCATGCTCTGTCCAACCCTACTCAACACCTTCCATAAAAGACCTTTGGCATTGTAGATGTGGTCTTAGAGGCTCCATCTGCAGAATCACTTTGCCCAGCTCTAAAATGTAAAAATTGATTTATATGCATTGACAGAAAAACCCGGAGACAACACAGGACCACAACATTGTGAAACACACCTTAAGAAAGATTTCTTTATATTCACTATAGCCACATCCTATCCACACATTCTCATTGCTTTTCCTAATGGCTAGTTTTTCTTATAATAATCTTTTACATGTTTAAGACTCATTTCTAACATTTGTAAAATAGGACAGTACTGTATTGAATGTAACACTAACAGTTCAATAAAGTTAGAATGGATTGAATATGTTGCACATAGACAAATATTTTTAAATAATTAAAGTAAGTGTAAGAACAAGACAGCATGGGCAAGAAATATACATTTACACTAGACATGAAAAGCAATTTTGCCATCTCTCTATTTGACATTCTACAAACCTCTGAATTTTATGTGAGTTACATGAACTTTAATTTAGGAAACAAAGATGGTTAAATTTCCCTAATTTTACGTTTAATCATTGCTCATTAGCTCATTCTTTTATTTTTTCTATTTTCATGCATTCAGTGGATTTGGAGAAGTACAACTATTTTTTTTAAAAAATTATGTTTTTTGTTCAAAGCAATACAGATTAATCATAAACATTCAAGTAAATAGAAAATTATGAAGAGATAGTAAAAATACTATAAATCATGTTAAGTAGGTATTTTTAATGAAGTAAAATTATCAGCCAATGCACAAGCATTCATTTCAGGCACATTAACATGCTGGACACCACACTGGACATTCAGGGGATGCAGAAAAGAAATATTCTCTGCCCTCTTGAAATAAATGGTCTAGGGGACGGTCCACCAAAAACTTAAGAAGTAGTATCTGTCAAGTCACATACCAATAAATAAAGGAAAAGTTTGTACTGGCTATTTCTTGTTTCCCAAATGAATGCTTATGTTAATGCCCAGCCAGTCGTTAAGCTGACTGTCATCTCATATGGGAGTCTCAAGGTGGCCAGTCATCTCATATCACACAGATCTTCTAAACTGTATACTTAACATCCAGTTCCATTGGTCAATCTGTTCCTTAAAATGTCTGTCTCTGATATGTCTTTGAAACATACACGTTTTATTGTCTTTTGTCTCTGTTTCCTCCCCTTTTCTGGGTTATTCTTTTCTTCCTGCCTCACCTCCTTTGAGCCCCTTCAGGAAAGTATTACAGGCAGGTTGAGACTCTACAAAAGATTTGGGACGGAGACCTTCTCCATGTCCAGCCCACCCACTGCAGTTCTCTCTCCCTATCCTCCTCTCCCCCCTTAGCTTTGGATGGAGACTTACTCTCTGGGACTAACTTAGCCGGTATCTGGCTCCTTTAATAAAGAAAATCATGTATAGCTACTTTTCACTAGCAGCCCACTCACAGATGAGGAATGAAGGGGTCTTTACAAGGAAGATGGCATTCTAATTTTCAATTAGTGGAAACAGCCTATCATATTCAGACTATCTTGTTGTTACATGTAAAAAATCACCCACAAATGCATTATTTGTAGTCTGACAGTAAAGAAGCAAGTCATCCATTCTATTGCTGTCTTCAATAATCATATTGCTGACTTAATTTACTAATAATCATCAAGTTAAAGTGATTTTCAAAGTCTCCAGGTCAACTTATTTAACCTCTTTGGATCTTAGTATCCTCAACTGAAAAATTTGGACTTTGAATTAAATCGAATTATATTATTTCTGAGGAATGTAATTTTATAATTAGAGAATTTAAAGGAATTAAAAGAATACAAAGGTCACAGAAGTGTACCTTGAGTTTAATAATGGTCCTGATAATGAATAATACATACCCACACTGTAATGACATAAGTATGTTTATGGACCAAAAGCTGATTACATTTTAAAAATTACTAGCAAATCCTAAACTCCTATTTTCATCTTTTAGATAATTTGTCATCTACCCACACTAGGGACTTTTGTTTCCAAATAAATGAGAAAATGTTTTCTGACTGGGTCATAGTAAACATCCTCAAAAAATATTTGGCCCTTCCCTTGGTCTTACCTCCACATACAGCGTCTAAAAACTGAGAAGTTTTAATTTGAGATATTATTTCAAAGATCTAAAAACAAGATAAGTTAAAGGCTATATTATACAGACACAAGGAAGACGAGACTGCTTGCATATATAGTAGAATGATACTACAATTTTATATTAATTTTAATTTTATATTAAATTTTTAATTTTTTAATGGACCTAAAAGGATGAAATTTAAGAAAAAAAATAGATGTGATAGTCTTTCCTATAACTTGGTAGAACTTTTAGACTTTATACTGACCTTAAGGTTGATCTAGACTACAGGTTCTTGGCCTAAAATCCAGGGTTGAGGGTCCATGCTTGAGCTGCAGGGAATTCAGATGAAATGTGGTGTGTGTAGGTTCATTCTTTAATGTTGATGATGCAGTGATTCCAGCAGAAGGCAGTTTGAACCCAATACATTTAAAAGATGTTGGTTTCTATTTCAGCTCCTTATTTTAGTGACGAGGGCATTGAAGTCCAGAAATATCTGAGGGGTTGCTGGGGACCACAGCTAATTAGCAGCGGAGCCAGAAATAGAACCCACGTCTGCAGTGGGGTCATCAATCCAGCTCCCTCCTTCTCTGCACGCAATAGATAGATTATATTAGTCATAAAATGGGATCTGGAGCCCTTTTTTCTTCCAAAAAAAAAGAGAGGAGTATTGAAGTTATGAAATGAGATCTAAGGGGAAATGTCATAGAGTCATGCAGTGGAGATCAAAAAATAAACCCAAGCCCTGGATTTAAGCAGTGGATGTCCTTTTAGCAGAAATCAACAATTTGAGAACTGACTTTTCCTATTACTGTACAATTTCCCACTGTTCATGGTGAATTTCTTTTCCACCTCTCTTTCCACCGCCTTACAATTGTCTTCAGTTTATCTTCCCTGGTATCTCATAGTAGCCTTTCTCCTTGGGCTTGGGAATGCATCTTTTTCCTTCCATCCTTTCCTCTACATTCATATTTCTCACCGTTTCTTTATTTCTCACGAAATCTATGGCCCCCACGTGTGCCGTTCTGTGTACCCTGAGAGGAGCAAGATCTGATCTGTGGCACAGAACACACATGAATTGTTCAAGCTACTGGGATGAATCTGCTTGTACATCCAGCAGACGAGAAGTGGCCACACCAGTCCTAGCTGAGCATGTGGCGGGCACACAAGCATTGGAAACATGATGGCACTTTGTAGGAACAAAGTACCAGAAAGGGAAAGCTGCTAATGTTTTTTCTCTCCTACCTTCCTGGGCAATAAAACTGCTCCTAGGGCACAGGTTGAAGGAACACTAAGCAGCAGGTGACGGCGGAGACTTGTTTTCATGCTCCTTACAACAACGTTTCCCTCTTTCTAAATCTTTTCCAGTTGGCTCACGTATTACCCACAGAAGAGAATTTCCTACTGCTCTTTCGATGCCAGCAGCTGAAGTCCTGTGAGGAATTCATGAAGGTACAGGAAAGCTGTCACTTTAAGAAAGCTGCTGAAAGTAGAATTGTTGGTTTCTTTTTTTTTTTTAATGTGTTTGGTTTTCCTTATCCAAAATTACTTACAGACATGGAGAAAATATGATACTGATCACAGTGGCTTCATAGAAACTGAGGAGCTTAAGGTAAGCAAATACAAACTTGTGCTAAGTTTTTTCCTTTCAAATAAGCTGCTAAGAACTTCGCAGCTTTTTAAAAAACCTCCCACAAAAGAAACTAATGTTGAGCAGTGGCACATTTTCACCCACTCTTCCACGTCATTAATGAGGTACCAGATCAAAAAAGAGACTTCAAGTGCTTCTTGAAATTCTGCTCAGCAATGCAAAAAGACTGGTATTTTCTGTGGTGTACACAAATTGCTACATAAGAGACAGAGACACAGAATTATACATAAGCCAAATAAGCCACTCGTTTTATTGAAATTTGGAATTATATTTCACAGATTAAACATCTATGTAAATAAAGTTCTCTTACAAGAGAAAAACAAGGAAAAAAGTATTGAAATATTACTATACGCCAACTATACACATTTCTTACTTAATCTTTGCATGAGTTTTATGAGATTATTATTACCCCACTGAGGAAAAGGGTTGAGATAAGTTACACGATATACTTAAGGCCACACAGAAATAAGACACAGAGCTGCAATGTTTAAATCCAGACTTGTCTGCCTCCAAGGCCCCTAGACATTCTGTACAACCTACTGCCTCTCAATAACAATAACAACAAAATGCTTATATAATTAAACTTTTGAAAAACTACAACTTTGCAAAAAAATTTTTCAATTCATCTCTCACAGAGGAGGTTATAAAGAAAAAGGCAAAGAGATCTGAAATCAAGTCTTACCTCAGCGCAAATCACTACATCATTATGATTTTTTTCATCTTTAAAACAGGAGTAATAATACTTTCCTTTCAGATTTATTGTGAAGCTCAATAGTAGACTTTGTAAGTCTACTTCACCTACACCTCAAGTAAGGTGTTGCACATGAAAGATTTTGTGACATGCAAGGCATAATAAATTATATTATTCATGGACTCAATTTACTAGCTTTTCACAAATATGGAAGTGTCCTTCATCTCATTTCTGCAAACCAACACTAAGATGTTTCAGACTGAAAGACCTTATTTTCTCTATCTTCAGAATACAGAGTGACTAAAAGAGAAGTGAGTTATTGCTTACTGAGCACCTACTAGGTAGCAGGCAGAGTACTAGGTGCTTGAAACGTATTTTAACATTTAATCCTCACAGAAAATGTGCAAGTGTTATTATTCCCAATATCCAGACAGAAAGACTGAAGTTCAGAGAGATTAGATAATTTTTCAAGATCACAAAGCTGCCTAAGAAAAGAATCTAGATTTGGACCTAGAATATCTGGTAATTCTAATAATGTTTTTTCCCCCACAGCAAGCACCACATGCTTTCAAGCTTAATTCACTGACAGCTATCTCTTTGGCTGCTATGTGGGGAAATATGAATATCGAACAGTTTCCCAGTCATAGTTCAATATGGTTTGAGTAACACACAATTTTAGAGCTGGATCTGCGACATTCGCACCATTGCAAAATTGCTAAAACATGTTCAACTGCAACCTCTTGAAAATGTAAACATTCTTTATGTAAGTCACCAAAACCAATGTCTTTTACAAATTTGCAGCTCAGCAACCCACAAAGTGACAGCTAAGCTATTGTGTTTTTATTCAATTAGACCAAAAATATTGTTTAAAAAATCGTTTCAAGTTCATAATGAAAACCTTAGCTCATTTCCGATACTGACCTCAAAATATCCTAAAAGTCTCCTTCTTTGTTCTAAATTTTATTCTCAGAAAGAGATTCTAAATAGAAGTCCTCTTCTCCAGGGAATTTTGAAGATAAGTTGGCATTCTTTTTTAATGGATCTTTCAAGAAAGCTAATTTTAAGATCTATAATAGAGTAAAACATCGCTTGTTCTCAGACACGACTTTGAATCTCAGCGTCCCAAGGTTTCTCCCAGGCTATTTTTGTGACCACCATTTTAGTCTCTGATGAGGCTTTTTAACCCAATTAATCTCTGACAAAAGCCGTATAAGGCTCAAAAATAAAATTCACTCCCAACAGATAACTGAATTTTCCATGCTTCGCTTTGAACTTACAGTAGAATGTTTGAAGTAAAAAAAAAAAAAAAAAGAATTTATCAAACCAAGAAAAATATCTCCTTCCTTGAAAACAGTGAAATCAAATCAGCCGGGAAGAACTGATATATTTGGGAGGGAGCTAAACTACTGCTGAACCAAAGAAAGCTAATCCTTCTATAATATCTGGGCACAGTATCTGCTCAGTTTTTCATAATTGCATTAATTCATTTCCGAGAAAATAAAGAAGTCACGAATGAATAGCGCTAGACAAAATGAAAGACTATTATATGCTTAAGTACTTACACTGTCATTTATGTGGCAAGCCTTTGTAAAGCTTTTATTTGATTTATGTCTCTGTTAGAAAAAAAAAATTAAACTCACTCCTAAGCTCCATCAAGTTAATAATCATCTTTTTTCATCCTTCCCACATTAATCTCTATATTAATATGATTCATATGTCCTTCAAGGATTTTATGACATCATCTGTGGCCAACTGCTTTAGTTCAAACAGTTGAAGCATTTTAACCAAAGTGCTTTGGACGACATCAAGCCAAAAACTAACCACAGGCCCTCTGGAGAAACGAGCTTCATGCTGCTATCAACTGAGATGTAGATACAACCGGGGAGGGCAGAAAATGCCTTTGAAATTAGAGGTTTACTGATAATTTTTAACACATGTGACAAAGGTATAGAAAAAAGGCCCTTATGTTTCTTGCAGAAGAGTCCCATGAGTACTTGTGAAGATATCAGTAAGTAGAAATACATCCTTTAGGCTGGCTGGTTTTAAAGTTTTTAAGTCAGATTCCTACACAGAGCACAAGCCAGATACTCCTTTAATTGAAATCGTAAAAGCATAGCACAGATGAGATGACAGATCACCTGTCAAAGGTAGTTCCATCACTGGGATGCCAAGAGGATCACATGATTTTGTCTTTCTTCTAAGTTCCTCTCCTCCCCTGCTTCTATCTTCAAAAAGAAACTTCCTTTGCATTCCTGGTATGCTCTGTTTTAAAGCATGCTGAAATGGAAGCAGACTGTACCTTATCACTGGAATTTATCTGAGTGTTCTTTGTTTTAACAGAACTTTCTAAAGGACCTGCTAGAAAAAGCAAACAAAGTTGTCGATGACACAAAATTAGCCGAGTATACAGACCTAATGGTAAGACTTGAAAAGACTGTATGTAGCCAAGGGCTCATGAAATATTACGATGTTATTGCTAATTCCCAAGGCTACACACGATGAAATAAACAAACTGTGGGGTGGACGTCACATGCACATAGGTATCATTTCATTTGAAAATTAAAATACTTGAAGATACTTACACCTTGTGATGCTGAGTACTGTAGACATTGGCTTTGAGGCTCAACCAACATTTGAGCATTTCCTTTCTTGTCGGCTATGTAATTTTTATCTGTCAAAAGTTGAGTGTTTTTTTTTTACAAAGCCATTATATCACTAAATTATAAAACTTGTATATACATGTTACATTATATACCAAAAATCACTTATTATAGAGGTTCTGAATCCATTTTTATCACAGCTTGGGAAAATCATAGACTTCGTTAGAGTTTAAAGAGATCTTCTAGTTACTTTATTAATTGACTTAAAATGGGTCTCCTTTCTTTTGATTTTTATTATTTTGGGATATTGTATTTCTGCTACAGATGAGAAAATGTAAATATACCTTGAGCCTCACACTATAATAAATAGTATAACTAAGATATATCATAGAATACTGATAATAGAACCATGAAAACTATTTTCCACATAGACACCTAATGTTTTAGGAAAAAAATGAACAAATAAATTAATGAGGTTCCAAATAAAATAAACCAATGTCCATGAAGTTAGTTTCGTGTGGATGAAATTTTCTCATTTGGACTCATTACAGAATTAGAAATACTAGGAGATACAAATATTTACACATGCTTTAAGTATCATGAAGGTACTGTGAATTCTTATACCGTGGATTTAAATAAAACATAGCTGTACATTATAAAAGCTGCTTTGTTATATCAGATTGCTGAAGGCCTTAGACTGTTTAGTTACCCTGAGAAACAATCTTATAAAGGGTTTGATTATATTTGATATAACTGATGTTTACTCTCAGGCTCTCAGCCCATATTTATCTGGGAAAAAAAAACCGCTAGAACTTTACTATTGCCTTACTCACTAAACAGTGTCATTTATTATAAAGTGGAGCTAATCTTCAGTTTCAAAACAACCAAAAAGGTTTTCGTGGTCATCTTTAGTTCCTTATTATACCTGCATTTACAACAGCATTAGTAAACACATGGGAAGACTTTCTCTGTGTCACAATGGGCAGATCTAAGCTCTGAATAACTTTTGGGAAATGGACGATAACCTACATTTTTCAATTTTCTATTTTGTTCCAATCTTAAGGGATACCTATTTAAAGAAAAGACTCCTTTCCAGTTAGAAATTTGAAGCGTCCTTTCAAAAACCACTCAGATGGGAGTTTCCCCCTGTTGGATTGGCCTGACATATCTGATTAAATGTCATAAACCAGTTCAAATCCAGGAAGCAAATTAATCAAGGACTAATTAAAATTTAAATATATATGTAGGGAAATATTTCCCCATTGGCACTAAACTGTGATCCATCCAGTATCTTGGTAGACAGCATGACAATCTTAGAATTTATGGTCGATGGATTAAAAATGTTGTATCGGTATAGGACCTACAAAAGATTCTTAGAACATCTCAAACCATAGAATGCTTTTCCTTTCCTCCTTTAAAAGACCTCACTAAATCTATATCCATTATAACCTTGACCACATTCCTTTCTTCAAAAACAAAAATAATTCCACTTTTTCACACATTTAGTATTCATTTAGTATACATATTTTACATATTTAATATAGTTCATATATACTATTTCTATATAACCTGTTATAGCAATAGTTGCTACTTTCTAAAAACATGAATACTCCCAAATACGGGTACAAGTGTGTTTACATCTGGATGTGTCTTGGTATATGATGTATATATAAGTGCAATGGAGAGGGAGCTTCATTGACTATCTAGTACTTAATGGAAAATAAAACTATTCAAAATTACTCAAAAATTCTATCCACTA